AGGAATATGAATAAGATCATTAACATATGACGATTGTAGCGTACTGTACATGACAAAAATATTGTACTGTACACTAAAATTTCAGCGCCTAATTAATCCAATATCTGGTTCTGCTTTTGTTTGAACTCGTAATTTAGTTACTTTGAAAAAAAAATTGAGATTGCAATTTTTTTTCAATTCAAAATTTTCAAAATGAACCTTCACGTTTTGTATTCCTGATTACAATGACATTTTCCATCAATAACAAATCTTTTCCAATATTTACTGAAATGTTCTGCTCAACATTTAAACGCTTAAATACTAGTTTTAAAAAAGTGAAAAATATTCTATACAAATCAAATGATAGAAAAAGCAAAAAAAAAAAAAACAAACAAAACATAAATGTTACAATAAAGAATAAAAAGAATGAATAAAATTAATGAATAATGTGAAATGGAGAGCAACACAATTATGGACTCCAAGGAGACTTTACAACTCTATTTGTCTATTTGTTTCTGCACATCATTCAGCGTGAAAAACAAAATAAATTGATAAACAAATTACCATCATCTGAGAAATCATCAACAAGAATGATTTCAAGGACCAATTGTGGAGGTGAACGAAGAAACACACTGACAATGGTACGTAATAAGGTCGACCTTGCCTCATTATGATACGTTATTATCACAGAAGTTGATGGTAAAGTTTTTATGTCGTATGTAACAGCATTGCAACTGAAATATATTCTAGCTAAGCCATTATTTCTCATAGTTGACAACCTTTAAATTAAAAAGTACATTGATATAGCTAGAAATGTCTTCTAAAATATGCTTTTTACACAAGATTTCACTTTTTCGAACCATGTAACGATGACGAAAAACTGAAGTACAGTTATTAGTTACTTTTCATTGAGGATAATGTATTATAATTTTCTGTAAAGCAAGCATGAAATCCCAATGAGCAAAAACAGATAAATTGACGCAATTAAAAAGGCTTGAGAATCTATTTTTGTCACCTTTCTTCCCGAGAATCAACAATATCGCGATCCCATTTCGTAGCATCACTAGCAGCTTGATTGAATTTATTTGCTGCATACCTAAAATTAAGATAAAACTGTACTGTGGAATATAGTCATATGGAAAAGAATGAATCTACAGATATTAAAAAAATTTTACCATTTAAACCATTCAACATTTTATGCTTAAACTACCTTTTAAAAAGTGATTTGTACCCCTTTTTTATCCAACTTGGTGTAACTAAGTTATAAATAAGAGACATCATTTCACACAAATAATTGACTAATAGTTTGTGATGCATATATGAATGTAAAAAGTTTTTGTTACGAATAAATTAACGTTTATAGCAGTATACTGCACAAACAAATTCATCAGAAGACTTTCCCGACTATGTATGTATTTCTAAGAAATTCCATCATGTATTAAGCTATTCTGTAAGTTCACAGACCACGGAAAAATGTCACCTGTCTTCCCCTGGTTTCAAAACACCTTTCTCCAAGAAACTTTTATGATCGAAATCTTTCCAGTTCAGCACTTCTTCTGGTTTAGAATAAACAATAGCATGGTTCAATTTGACATCTTTAGAAATATCATCCGAACTTTTGAAAGACAACTGGAATTTCTATAAAAAAAAGAGTTGAAAGCTTTAAAGAACAATCACCTCTTCTTTTCTCAAAAAATATAAAAGCAATTCCTCAAGGCACAAAGTATAAAAGTGATCATTATACTTTTGATAACTTGCTCATGTACAAATCTAATTATCCATTTTCAAATACTGTACTTGATAGAATTTGGATGCTATTAAAGGTGAAGTGACAGTAAAATAAACAAATTATTAACCAAAACGATTTAATCATTGATAAAACATTAAAATTTTAATTGTAAACTTTATAAGACTGATAAGTCAGTGAACAAATTTGTTTTATCATTTAAACTTAAAATTAATGCTAGGCTCATATTTCGAGAAATCAGGTTGGTGAAAATTGCTAAATAAACAACCTCTCGAGCATTAGCGACTCTATACGATCTACGACCTGGAATTAATGAAATCGAGTCGACAAGCGAATAAGTGTAATAATGCAAAATAGTATAGCAGAAAGTTATGACCCAAGCAACTATGAACACTGTCAACACCCATTTCTTTCTACATTTCACCATTACTAATCAATCTGTAATTAATCGAATATATGTTTAGCCGCACAAATCATAATAGATTATTTGTTCAAAATGTTGAAAAACTGTTCAAAAAATTGAAAAGCAATAAATATATTCAAAACTACACATTAAATGCAAAAAGTAGTAGTAACAAAAATAAATAACTTGATAAAACTAATTTTTGTTCAATTTAAAACTATTACAAAAATTACCGTATCAATAAAACAAACATACCTTTGCAGTTTTGCCAAAATACTGCGAATTCGCTGGAAATCACCTGCTTCTCATAACAAACTATTAATGGCAGAAATATTATGCGAAGATTATACCGTGCCAAGGCATTTCCTTTAAATATTATACATTACAAACAATATACGAACATACGTAACGATTCTATGCGGAATAAATACTTACTAGATTTATGAACCGTAACTCGTGATTAACTGCTTTTTTTTAAAACAGTTTCAGTTCTAAATTTCTACAGGTCTGAGGCATGAATGTAAAAATTATATCAAAAAAAGTAAACACTTATAAATTTATCTGGAATGACTATATTTAAAGATAAAGCCATAATTTGAACTGCTTGTAATATTTTTAATTATAACGAATGTAAAATTGGATAAACACTCCTTCCAGATAACTAACACATTGCAAAGGGTGAAGGTATGATATAAGAGAACAATTGACGATCAGATATGAGAATAATGAAGAAAATAGCTGTAATTAAACTAGCTTCAAAGTCACGTGTCTCACGTGCGGAACCAGAAAAATTATTATTAATCTCAATTTGCCAGCAGATATAATTTTACAATATGAAACCGAACTTTAAGCATCATCAATAATCTACTGGTCTCTATGAAAACTTTTTGCAAGTAATGGAGATGTACATGTAGGCTGCAAAAGTTTAGTCGTACAGAGTTTTGCACGCACGTGTAAACTGCAAAAATTATGAAGTAATTCAAGGATTTATTATTAAAGATTACAACACTTCGGTGGACGCTGAGCAAATTTTAATTTTGCAGAATTAGTGAAATTCTGAGTATAACGTTATTGTAAACTGATTCTACTGTTTGACAGAATGAATACTCGTTGTATCCTTGTTGACATAAAAAGCACATTCAAATGCCTGTTCCCATCGTTTAACAAAGCAAATCCACGCGGCGTCAAATATATTTTGATTTTGCTTGGAAATTCGCCAACAATCACTTTTATTTATTCACTTATCTACACTCATCACTTCACGTTCACTAGAAAACGAAACCATCATGAACTTGCAAAAATTTAGAACGCAGTATACAGTGCCTGCAGTGCTCAGTATGCAGTACACAGTGCACACTAATATTTACTGCTGATTCGTTCTGTTACTTCTCTCGCCTGCATTCTAAATTTTTTTGTACAGTAGATAAGTGCCTCAGTAGAGGCTAAACTACAAGCTCCAAATTTTGCAGAAGAAACACAACCAATAAACAGCTCAAATTTCATGAGAAGAATCTTCTGGTTTTCTTCGATTCAAATTTTAAAGTAATACACACAACATGCACATATTAACCGACATTTCAATGCAATCACATCTTCATTATTTGGAAATCTACGACAGCCAAGCAATTCAGATAGTTGAGATTAGCCATTGAATAACTGCTCGCTTATCTTTATCAGATTGTCATACTAGCCAGCACTGGGACAAGTCAAATGAAATCTCATTTCACAGTTGTTGCAGTACAAACTGGTAACAAACAATTCATCATTTTGTGGCAAACAGATGAGATCAAGTGATGCAGCAACTGGTCAGTACATGCTATATGCATTGTGTCGAGATCTATTCTAGCTTCTTTGCCATCTATTTTCAACTCGACTGTATTACCAGAAACCTGAATTACTGCCTGATCACCGCACAATTCAGCTAGTGTTTTCATTAAACACTCTGCTTCGTTCGTTTTTACTCCCCATTTGCTGAGATCTAAAATTTTCAAATATGTAAATAGTTGAAAACTTGAATAAACTTCCAATCAACATGAAACACAAAGATGACAAGCACATATTTGCCGTTTAGTGCAGTTTGGTTAGTCGTTCAAGGCTTCCGAGACTAAGTTCAATGAGCAAAAGCTTTTGCTCATTGAACTTGAAAGCCAATAACGACATTTCATAAAGATTAGATCATTAATGATGAGGCTTTTTAAATGGTTTCTGTCCACGATCATATTTAGTGAATAAGATTTGATTTTACGTTTCATTCCCTTGTGACAAACGAGACACATTTAGAATTAACAAAATGTAAATTTTGCGTAGGATACAATAATAAGTAAATTCCAGCAATAAAACCAGCTCACTTTTAAAAATTGATAGACTGTATAATTTCAAAATAAGCTTACTTTTATCGGGCACTGGATTGGTTTGAGCGTGTAAAATAGCAGCTAAAGTTGCATCAGCGAACATATCACTTACGGGGTTAGATGTCCATTCAATAATAACGACATGATGTGAGTGATAAACTGCTACATTGATTCGAGCCTACGAAGAGCACTATGAATAAATCGAGTTCAAATTTAATCCCGAATTAAAAATAGCTAAAGCTAAATTTTATAGTTTCTGTCAAAATTTTCTAACACGCTTAACTAGAAAAACCAAAATCAACCCATGATGGTTTAAAAACAATATGATTCAAAAAATTAAGAGATTCTACTTGCTGCTTTTTAAAAACGGTATAATCAAAAAATTATCAACTGATTCATTTCACAAATCATGCACTAACATCAAACAGTTTGATGATATGAGAGGGATCGGAAACAACTTTGGAATCGTTTTCTTCACAGCTGACATCACCAGATATTTGTTGCAAATTATGAAGCAACAATGGAATGGTTCCATTGTAGAAAACACTCTCTCGCTGAGTCAAAACGCTGTTCGACAAATCAGTATAAGCTAAAACAGAATAAAGTTGACTCTATAGACACTAACAAAATTTGAATTCTGTAATCAAAGTCTGGATTACAAAAGTTTTTATTTTTTAGAATCACTTGGAAAAAAAAAGATATAAAGCACAAATGTGCTGAGAAACGTACCACTAATATCACTAGCATGCATTAAATGGTAGTTGAAATTCCGCCGAACCAGAACTCCACTCAAAATTTGACCATCTACAGGAGGAGTCATTGCCATCTTACCCACAACCTTTGAATTTTCAAAAATTTTACATAAATTCGCAATCAATATTTAAAAGTTCATTTCTTTATTTTCTTAATCAGCGCTTAATGAAACCAGAAATAAAAAAGCTTGTACTAAGGTAAGCATTTACTTTAGCTGTCTTCTCTCCTCTAAAATGCAGTTCAACAGATTCTGTGTTCCTGGGATTATACACCTGCAAGAAGTTTGCTACAAATGCGACGTGAACAAAAATGCATTTCAATCTTTAATGATCAGGAATTATAACCAACAAATCTAATTTCACAAGAGAAAATAAAGCACCGGAGCTGTCTAAATTTAAATTTATTTCATTTATCCACCACCCCTTAGAGTCTGTGATATAACATACCGTTAAGCATGCAGTACGAATTCTTAGGGTTTCTATAATTATATATCAATAAATGTATTAAATGCACTTAAAACTACAGGAATGTAGACTGACAAAAACCTTTAAACATTAAAACATGATGAATCAAAATTTTCGCTACAGCTTACAATGATTGTCTTGTTTTCTTCTCCTATTCTGATAACTATGTCGTGAAAGAACAAATCAATAAATCTTACTTCTATATGAAAATCTAATTCATCTTCATATTGCCTGATGACTGCTGCCTTCAGACGATTCATTTCATTCATTTCCCCATGCACCAGTACCAGATGCGGTGGTCGAAGAGCGCGAATGAAATCGGATGTTTGAGTATAGTCTGTATGTGCCGAGAAACTGATATAAGCAATCTGCAGTCAAATAAAGATATTGTTAATTTATTTACGTTATATGTAAATTTCGAGAAAAATGTAGTGAAAACCCGATTTGGAAACAAAAAAACCACCGCAACAAAATTTTAGATTCTTCGGTTCTGAAATAAAATACTACTTTAACTTTCATACAATTACTTGCAGTAGCCGATAAAGTGAAAGACTAAGGTGGTTTTTTTCAAAAAACTATCCAAAAAAGAGTCAACTCTAAGTTAACTTCCAACATACCAAAACCTTTTTTGAAGATTCTAAAAATTATAAATTACCTGCAAACGCATAGTTAATTTTTGTCCATTCAATGCAACAATCTCTTCTGGCTCTGATAAAATATGCTAAAAGCTTAAGTTTAGTGAGTTACAAATAATGAGATAAAGATAAATAAGATATTGATTTTAACGATAGGAAACCAAAAAAGCCAGCAAAAAACTAGCCAGTTTTTTCAAACCAGCAATAATCTAATATGCATTTCTTTTCTTTAATTGTCACTAGAAAGAGCTGTGACACAAGACTTTATTGCTGATGATTTCAAGTTAATTATTTTATTTATTTTCCGACATCAAATAAAAATTATCACTACTAAAACAACGCATCTCAGAAGCTAAAATTTTTCTCCATTTTTATTCACAAGAATGTCAAAATTTTAGTATGATTATCATTCGTTAAATACTCGTGATGCAACCATACAAAAATTACACCTTAGCAAGAGTGCCTTCTACGCAATAACCTGCTATAATACAGCCATTCTTGGAATCAGTGCACCAATTTTCAAATAACTCTCTACTGAGACCATTCTGTAGCATACCTGGTGAGGCAAGAACAACGCATGGACCAGCATCTTCAAAGTGATCGATACTCTAATAACAAGTATAGAGTAGAATGAGTGTAAACAAAAATTGCAGTAATAGAAGTTTTACAACTAACTGGCTACAGCCAATATTTTGTTGAGTGCTCAGCAAATGAAATTGCGAAACGTGAGTTTCAACTTGAACATTCTTATCTTGACATACTTTTAGATTAGAGACATGTTTGAAAACGAATGGGTTATTTAAAGCTATCTGTTTCTGAATTCGACTATTCATTCCACTAACAAATGTCTGGTACACGGCCATACATTTTTTAGCCAATGAACTCGCGTCTGAAAAAATTCTTGCAAAGAATGACGGTTGATTTGAAAAAAATACAATACATGCATTTCAATACCATAAATATTTTCTAAATGATTAGTAAGGAAAAATAAAATTTCACACTATTTAATACACCATGTTATTTCAGTTACTTTAATTCATACTACAGATTTCTGATATGGCAACATTATTTCCTTTAAGATTGTACAAAAGACTAGTTTATTTCCTATACTATAAACTGAATAACTAAACTATTGTTGTAATCCAATCAACTTAGGAGTACTTTCTGAAAACAGTAAAATCATGAAAATATATGACACATTATGCTAAAAAACAATATAAATATAACTACTCTGATGCAAGCAAATCTGAATCTTTAACGATGTAAAACTAACAATATACAGGAATATCCTGTAGCTCAGGATGAGCTTCCCAATACTCGTCCAAAATAAGCAACAATTCTTGGGCACGTCCAAGAGCGAATGCTGGTATAAGACAGCGTCCACCTCGACTGACAATTTCGTGCACAGTTCCCGTGAACCTGTGTCAAGCCCATACAGTAATTGAATAGACACGAAAATCTCAACAATAAGCAACACTGATAACATAAATATTAGAGTTAGATATAATTATGATAAACAAATATCCAATGTATCAAATAAAAAAGATCACTTCAGATTCTCGTTATAATTTCACTGAAGACTATATATTGTTTTAAAAGCAGCAAAAACATTAAATTGTAAGTTTAAAAGGAATTGAGAACTTCTGAGCCCCAAAACCTGGCATACTTTACCTTTTTTCTCTTTCATCCCGACTTTCATGGATTTGTGTGCCATAAGTTGACTCACAAATTAAAACATCAGGTGAAACAGTTGGCAGTTCGGCTGCACATAAATGGCGATCTTCAAGTCTTGAAAAATCTCCTGTATATAATACTTTAACACCAGCAATTTCGATCATAAACATGCAAGCACCCAATACATGGCCCGCAACATGGCACCAAAACTTGATACCATTCACTTCTTTTTGCTCATGGAAATCAATTACCTGAAAATACGATGATTAAATTAAAACATCAGCATAAGTTTTAGTTGGAAATAAAATTTTTGTATTCGTACATTAGATATAGACCTCAATTTTTTCCATACTCTTCTCTAGATCTTCTTCATTATAAAGCAATCGACTGTCCCCTGAACCACCATATTTTGACACTTTCAAATAATCCCCAATAGACATACGATAAATAGCTTTCGTAGCATGAGTCATAAAACATCGACCACGAAATGCTGTTTTTTCAAGCAACCAAGGCAAAGCACCACAATGATCTAAATGGAAATGTGTTACGAGAAGCAGATCGAGCTCCTCGCAATCCACAAAATCCACAAATGGAAGAGCATCTACACCACTCATACCCGGATGAATTCCACAATCTAACTGAAATATCAACGTGGACTGAATAAAATCATACTTAATTATTCAAAAATACCAATAAAAGAAAATCTAAACCATACCAATATTTTCTTGCCTTTGAAGGTCAAGTAATGACATGAACGACCCACTTCTTGACCGGATCCCCTAAATTAGGATATAGCATAATTCCTGATCGTTATCATTAGTCAAATACTACTGAATTGTTGAACTCTCAGATCTGAGAGTCTTATTTGTTTCCTTTCAATCATAATCAGTAATGCATAAACTAAGAGAGAATAAACAAGACTCGTGTTCATCAAATTGAAATACTGTCTTTATGAGCTTATGATTTTAAAAGTGAGTGGTCTTACTTTGGTTCCTTTATATATTTACTGAAATATGTGCTATAAGCTATAGGAGTAATTAATCTATGGAAATGTAAAATTTACAATGGTGTAATAATGAGGGCGTCAGAAGACTCATCAGTGACATCAACATCCATCTGTGGATCAGATTCCTGTGCTTAAATACCAAATAGCAATATTTTCCACGTAATCTGTAATGAAATACCCTCCCCCCGCCGAGCTTTATACTACAACGCCACCACTACTTCAACCTCCAATAAAAAATTGTAATACCTAACCAACTGATTTCTTACCAAAACTTAGCAAATGAAGACAATCTGTAACTAGCAACACATGAGTTACCTTCACTTTGTCTTCTCAAAAGTGAGAGATCTACTCCCTCATTCGTAGATTTTGAGATTTTGTGGTAAACACGTATTTGAAGCTGACAACATTACGTTGCAATAAGATACAAATGCAGAATATTTTATGCAAAACATGAAACGCATATAATACAGTGAAGAAGCCAAGTCGCTTAATACTAGATAAACAGTAAAGAATGGTTAGTAAATAATTTTGCCACAATAGAACCTACTGGTGATGAAAAAATCGTCAGAAAAAATCGCAATAATAACTTTGTTAATCATAATCAATGAATGATAAAGTGTAATAATGTCCAGGTTAGATATAATTTATAAATTCGGACTTAAATATTGATTGAAAAGCATAAATAGACAAAATACAATGGTATAAAATACTATAAACAATAAATACTTCATTATGAAAACCGCGAAAACTATAGCGTATGCAAATTCTGCAGTTACAGCGCAGTAGTCACTCGCAAAACTATCGTTGTAAACAGCGACTACACGTCAACATACAGAATCACTTTAAGAAAAAAGCTACTGTTCTTCACAATAATGCATTTATCAGCTGTTTTCTAAATAATTACAAGCCAGATTCACTTCCGAAAAAATTACACATCTATTTTGTCATAATAGGATAAAAACGATAAAAAGATATCATTTTGAGTGTAAATTACGATTGAAGAAATTCAAATAAATACAGTTCAAAAAGATTTATGCAAAATATACATTACATTTGACCACATATACCAAAGAACTGATTCTTTTTGATGGATAAAACGATAGTACTTTTAGTTGCACCAACCAATGCTTTACACATGAAAGAGAAACAATTTTGAGAAATGCATTAAATTAGTATTCAAAACAAGAAAAATGACACCTGAATTCATAGCTTAAAATGTGACACAAGCAATGAATCTTTACTTATTTTTCACTCAAGATATGTACCATAATCTGACATACCTTTTACAACCTGCAGAACACTCAACTCCTGCTTAACATGCATAAGCTTACGACAATCCAAGTATTAACATGAATAAATTCAGCACTGTTAATTGCATTCTGATCCAGCGGAAGCAGAAACAATAGCAAGAGCAATAAACAGCAGTTATATTTAACTTCACTCTTGATGAATATATCCATGAAACAAAGATGCATCGCAGTTTCTAAAGTTAAGTACACAAAAGTGCACCAAGCGCCCTATTTTCTGAGCAAAATGAATTTGATTGCATAAGTAAAATCAAAGAAAATGAATTTGAGAAAACAATACTGGAGAGAGCACTAAACAAAATGTTAATATGATCGAAATGCATAACAAAACTGCAAAAATGATGTTATGACAAGCGGTACGCGGATGATGATGAAGTGAAGATTCGGAGAGAAAAGCAACATCAAGTAAAAGAAAATAATATGTAAACTTCATCACTCCATGAGATATTCAAGTTTTATGACCTCCAAAGAGCGAGTGCACGAGATAGCAATAGCTGCTACTACGCACACCTCAGCAATATATGCAAAAAACCAGGGAAAAGAAATACCAAGCACATATTTTGAACTCAAAAATCTGTCAAAATATAGTTTCCAGACATTAGGATTTAGAGGAAAAAAATCACCAGTTTAAATGACGGAATAGAGAAAATAATGATGAGATTATACTAACTAGAAAAGGCATACAGCAAATATCGAGGTGCTACTGAAAACTGCCGACAAAAAACTGCAACAATACACAATTACATTCAAGACGGAAAACTCTGAACGGAAATACCCAATATGGGAAAATGATTAAAAGGAAGAGAAAATTTGTTCTATAAACAAATTCTTACTTTAGTCTTGTACATAATAAATTAATGACAACCCTTATTTCCATGAAATCCCTAGAGAGTTAATACATTCCCAGAATTAGTATCACGTAACATACCATGTGAAGCACTAAAGTAAAAAAACAGAAAACAACACACAAGTTATGTGAAGAAAGAACAAGAAATAGAACAGTCTACATGTAAATAACGACAAAATATACACTACAAACGATAAACAAACAAACTATACATGAATACTTGAATTTAAACACACTCTAACATTTTATTTCCCCAACGACTTGTATTAAGAACTTTGAAATAATACAGGAATTCAACACAAAAATTACATCGGCATGGTCCTTGACTTAACATGTCACTTCTCGAAAAGAGCAACAAAACTGAACCACACAACCAAAAACTGAATGGAATTTAACACGTACAAAATTACTGATATTCAAGAATCTTCAATGGTTTCTTCTCTTGAAAGTTTTCACTTCGGAAGAATCAATCTCGGAAAAATATAATAATCACCGAAGACTGCATAACATATAGTAATCTCAGAATTATTTCAAATGGGATCAGCTAGATATCTTTTCAACCAGTATAGAAAAGCTCAGCATCCGAAAATGAATTCAGCATTTGAAACTTGACACTGCAGTCACTGCTTCATTTTATACACATTTAATATCAAAGGATTAGATCAGAATTTAACCTGATACATATCTACACTTTACCATTCGTCAGGCAGTTTGATGTTAACACATTTTGTCAAATAATAAAACACCTCTTAATACGAAAATCCAGATTGAACAACAAAGTAACTTAACATACTGTACCAGACAAAAAATAATTACAGCTGTAGCAATTCTTCACGCTCACCTAATGAACACTTTCTCACCCCTGAACTGATTTACGGTTTCTACAAAAATGAAGGATGATATCACCAGTGAATTAATTTTTACTGCGTTTTCGGCAAAACTTCTTACATTCTACTTCTCGCCTTTCTCATTAATTACTAACAACTCTACATGCCATATAATTACTACAAGTTCTAATTAAATAAAACACGTTTTGTCTTTAATACTTCTATCTATGACTCACTTCTGCTTGAAAGATAACTTCGATCTCTGCATGCTAGTGAAAAAGATTATTACGTGTTAGAAAGTATATGAAATTCTTTAAAAGGTTTTAAAATTGTAGTAAAGAGCAGGATATGAGATTAACAAAAGTGAAAAAATAAAATAAAAATGAGAAATGAGTAAGCAGAAAGAGCAAATTAACATACAAAATGTACTGGAAGATGAATGAAATCATGTTTGAATGCACACAATTATGGCTGGGAATATTGAAATCGAAAGAGAATGAAGAATGCAAAAATAACAGTGAAAAAATATAGAAAACACTGCATGAAGAATTTCACCACCACATTATTCAACTCATCGTCAATTTTTGATAAAACTCACCTACAACAGCAACAGAAGAATATTAATGAATGCACTGTGTAAAATAACACCAGTAATGTCAATGACACCACTGACTGCACGGACTGCAGATGATATAATAACAAGAAAAATATAAGATTAAACATCATTCTATGATTTCGTTTTAAGTAAACTCAATGTATTGGGCCGAGGAGTAGACAGAAAAAAAGAAAAAAATATACAATCAAATTATACATTCTCAACTATTCCAGTTCAGCAAATGCTACTGTAAACAAAGGCGCATTTCTTAGAAACTTAACAACATTTATGCATAAAACACGAGCTGTATTAGTACATTATTACATGAAAAAAGGGAATAAAACATTGAAATGTACTTGATTACGCGTCGTGCTTCTTACAAGGGCGCATTAATATGTTGAAAAAGCTTATGTGATTCTATTAGTATCCGAAATTTGCATCTTTCATAGCACTAAAATGGTCGTGCGAGATCATTAGTTACATCACTGGCATGAAAGTGAGATTGTTGTGGCAGTATATCTGAATTACCTCCACTGTTTGGTAAAATTGTGCTAACTGACCCACCACCACCAAAGATCCAAGGTTCTGCAACTCCTGCTGGTCCCATGGGACTACCATACGACAATGTAGCGCGTGGCTTCAACAAACGATCAATTTCTGGTTCAGTTAGAACTTTTAGTTGCACTAAAAATAATGTCTGATTGTTAATTTAAACTAACTAATGAAGATATACAAATTTCATTTTGATAAAGAAGTGAGGATTGATGTATGGAAGTAGAAGGATTCATTATTTCTGCAAATTATTTATTGGCCGTACTGCACTAAGAGGGAGGTTCGTGAATATTGTGAAAATTTATCATAAAGGAATAAAAAAATAAATTAGCCGAAAATAAAAAAGTCGAAGCAAAAACATACAAAATGGTGCTTCAGTTCTCAAACGTCGAATTACTTCCTCAGCAGGTTCTATAAATCTGATACACATAAAAGGAGCTCCCTGAGGACAAAACACATGCAATATTTGGCCTACTTTTTGACATAGCATTTGTACTTGTTTCTCGTTCTGCAAATTAAAGAACAAATGAAAAGTTATTCTATACTTCTTTTTGAGTTTGATTAAACAAAACAGAATATGGAGCTACTTTGCCCTGGTAACATAAAAGTAATTATTAATGAATACTAATAAAATCTAACTACATGATAAACAATTTACCATTCCTTGCAAAGGCACAAAAATCCATGGATGCTGCTGTGGTTGCTGAAGATTGAATGAATTTGCATTCGAACGCTGAAAGGGTCCTAGAACAGCAGTACCAGATCCCAAAGCCCGCACTCCTGTATGACCAAATGGTCCCATCCCTGTTGGTCCAGATGTAACTCGTGACTGACGAAGAGCAACACTACCAGCTGTAACTGTAGGCCATATGTCACCAAATGCAGTGGCTGAGTTATTAACACCACCATTCCATCCCAGATAACCGGCACTTGGACTCTTAAAAAATGACACAAAAAGGTTTATATACGAATATATAGTTTCAAATAAAACGACAAAATCCTACGTGTATGAAAAACAAAAAAAAAACGCTAACAGTGCTGTAAAACTAATCACTTCAAAAAACATTAAACAGAATTTAAACTATCAAATCCTGAATGTTTCAAATGCTAAATATACATTTTTACCTCCTCCAATTGTATTCAAGTGGATATATATGAGTATCACGCATTAAACAACTATGCTATATTCAAATCGATACAACAGCAAATTTGACTATGTTATTAACAAATTGACCAACTGGCATTTGATTAAAAATAAGTAGCTAGCACACAAAACCAACTCTGTTCATAGTTTGAAGATCATTTAAATAATTAGCAGCTGTGTTCATAACATTTGACGCGTTTGTAGTGCTACCCTGTGGCAAAATATTGTTTGTATTACTACCATATAAATAGAAAGGTTGAGCAGATGAGCTAGCTGAAAGCAGCGGATTTGGTTTACATGTTCCCGGAGTTGCATTCGGGTCTTCTGCAACCTGGAGACGAAGAAATTTCTAATAAATTAGTTCAAAGTTGAATGAACTGATAGCTTGGAAAAGTAATAAAAAAGGTATTCTAGGAACTAGGCTGCAAGTTATCCAATAACTGAACATTCAATAATCCTTCCCTAACTTCAAAACAACTACGACAGTTTGTATTAAAATATTTAGTATCAAGTTAAAAACCTTATTAGGATCTCTCCACTCCCATTTCTTGCCAGGAACAAATTCCTGTGGTCCATCATCCATTGAAGCAACCTGAATTTGTAATTGAGATTGCTGTGGTGTCGGAGTACCATTACCAGATTGGTTGGTAGATGACGAAGCTCCTTGCTGTTGTTTCTCCCCAGAACTAGAACCTGGATCGTCCTTTTCAGCTATATCGACTGCTGCAATAAACTACTGTAACTTGCTCAGAATCTGTATGTAATTTAACCTACAAACATTAATATATTTCTAAAGCGTAAAAAAATGTTGCGGAAGATAATGCATGAAAAAATAAACTAGATCATATTTGACAGATTACACTAATAGCAGTAAATGTAATGTGTCAGAGAATGGCGCAATAAGTTACATGAAGAAAATAAATATAAACGACTTTAACTCAATACTTTTCTCTTCATTTCCTGACTGAGGTGGTGACCAGTCCAAAGTACCAGCTTTCCAATCAATTTTTTCTTCCAATGACATCCCTTGTGCATTATTAATTAAGCCTGCAACATTCGGATCTGATGATGGCAAACACATCTGAAAAACACATTTTTTAACTATGATCGGTTTCAACAATAAAGTTAATATAACAATGATGTCAGTGCTTTTTGAAATCACTTTTTTGATTCTACTTGTGGATATAATTGGCAATTAAGTTGCAAAACAAAACTGGTTTTATATTGATCTGACATTACCACGAACAAAACTATAGCATTTTACAGGTCTTAAAAATATCTTTCTAGCCTTATCAGTGTTGCAGTCCTGAGCATTTGCTTGTTTCCACTGTTGTAAACGGCTTTGTCCGTCTTGTTGTGGCGTAGGTATTACAGATTCATTAACAGGAATATTTGACCGAGCTTAAAACAATTCCTGCATAAACTTAATTAATGAAGTTTGGTCAAATCTCAAAGCAAGTAACATTGTGGAAAAAGAAATATCACGCTTCAAATGACATTTAGGAATAACTATACCAAATAAATTAAAAAGAACACTCATAGAATACGAAGAGAGAAAACTTATGCTTATAAACTATAAAATGAGTCATGCAATTTCACCTTTCAGCAACTGCTCATTCATCGAATTTCGAAGCTGAATTATCTCATGTTGCAAGCCACTTATTTCAACAGCTAAACGTTCCGACTCGATCTAAAGTACAATTTAATGACTCTTTCCAAGTACCACATAGTATCAAGAATTTTTAATACAAAAACAAGTTCGACTTTTTTAAATATGCACATTTACTTTCTGTGCTGGACTACTCATAGTACGCATGACTTGTTGATATTCCTGCTGAGCTTGTTCAAGCTTCGGAAATTTCTGCAGCAGTGTATTCAAAATAACCAAAACACTCTGTGGTAAAGGACGACTAAGCATAGCTACATCAATCAAACCTTTGCTAACTGCGATACGAATCTGTAAATCAAAATCATTAAGATTCACGACTTCAATACATTGAATTTATGATTACAATAGTTTCTATACAGTCGTAAGATGATTTCATACTGTTGAAACAAATATTACAGGGACTAAAATTTTTAAAAAAATTCATTGATGACAAAGCTGTACTTGTGAAAAATTCTCATTAAATCTCACTCGGTCAGCAATTTGCTGGGTAAGTGAAGTGTATGGCATGGGTCCTATAATACCGCTGCTTCCAATATCAGATCGAATCAACACATTATCCACTAAGGCATGCATTCCAACAGCACCCACGGAAGGTGGACAAGTGCTCTAAAAAAAAGCAATTTTTGCTTTTGTCAATTTACAAATAATTTCACAAGTTTTTCACATTCCAACTTTGAAAAGAAAGACTAATTTTTAAAACGTGACCTTGAATTTCATTACATAAAGAGAAATAAGCTAAAACTATTTATTAATAAAGAAACAGCTAGATGCAAGAACAATGCACTGACCAGGTCTGGTGTTTGATGACTGTCACCGACACTTTCAAGCTGGAAGAACGAAATATTATAAAACAAAGAAGTTGTAAATAAACAAGTATAGGAAATAAAATTAAAAACCAAATAAAAAATACCTTATCAACCCATGAACTTTGTTGTTGCTGCCACCGTTCCTGATAGTTCGATGATGAAGGATCCGGATGAGAACCTGTGTTTGCAGAATGAAAATAAAAGAGAGATAAATAAAATGACGAAAAATAAGATACTAACAGAATGTGAAAAAATTAACAGTGGATTTTCAAATTCTTACTGCTGTCGGGCCATGGTCCATTGCCTGCTGTTGTGGGTGTAGAAACATTAGTTCCAGTAGCTGAACAACATGAGCTAGCAGTATGACCCCCAGCACTGGCCACAATACCATTAATGCTGGAACAGACGGTGTTACCATTTGATATTACTGTAAGGTTATTCCAATCACCACCGCTTGGCATTGCACTTTGAATATGAGAATAATCATCCCCTTCAGTTTCTTTCCAGCGTTTGATTTCCTAAACACACTTCTCTCAATAAACTTGTCACTGCTGCTACTACACGGACCTATCAATACAAGATATTTCCTGAGTTCAGGATAAATTAGTTCATGAACTTCAATCTAACCGCAGGCTGTTGATGCGGATCACCCCAAATTGCAGTCCCAGTATCACGTTGAACTTTTTTCTGCTTTGGATTAGGATCATGCCACATCATATCGTTATTCATTTCTTGTGGTTGAGGTGCAACCCACGGACCAGGAGTTTGAGGATTCGGATCATACTAAAGCAATTTTTTTAATTTACAAGAAAAACTGTACCAGCAAATGGAGATAGATATAGAAATGATATTTTTACAGTAAATCATAATGGCAAATAAAGCGTCAAAACCAAAAAATTGACAGAAATGTTATCAGGAACACAAAACTATATACTGGGAAAATGCAATTCCATTAAACAGACAAGTTAAAAAATTACTTTGAATACTGTTTAAACTGGACCTGCTCATTTGGATTTGGTAATGCAGTTACAGGAGGCTGCGGTCCTGCTGTGGGAGCTTGATTCCAAGCAGCGGTAGGTTGTGGTGGCAGCGCTGATGCTGGATGAGGCACAACTGCGGGACTAGTCCATTGTGGTGCTGTTCCATCATGACGATGATGTGCTGCAGCTGCAGCTGCAACAACAGCAGCAGCTGTTGCCCAGTCAGGAGCAGCAGGACTTGATGTAACTGCTGGATAAAACGGCCACTGATTGCCGGCTGAAAAAATTAATGGCCACTTCAACTTATGAAAAGATTTTGGTGAAAATAATGGAAACTTATACTGCAGTGACACTTAATACGAAGTGGGAAAGTTCAGATAGCAAGTTTACCCCAACGAGCATTTGGTGCCGCCATTGAATTCCATTCTACAGTTCCTGACACCTTCGCATCACTGCCACCTTGTATAGCATTGAAACTAACTAGACTGCTTGTATCCCATGGAGTTTGCTGCAAGTGCACACTAGTCAAAGGCAATGCCATGCATGTAATATATGCAAAGAAAAAGAAACATAAAATGTCCTAAAATAATTTTTGAGACTGAACAAAGCTTAATTTCGGAAAGCAAGAGATACCCCTTAAAAGTTAATGGTGAATGGTATGATAATATCTTTCTTGCCTGATCTGCTTTTATTTGATTCCATTGCTGCTGTTGATGATCGTACCGGCTCTGTATTTGATTATGATTGCTGCTATTGCCGCGCCCTGCCGTATTTTTTTTGGCATGTTCAGCATATGTAGACATGCCTGTCCCGACATTTGATGGTGGTGACCACTATTAGAAATAGATACATGGACATACTTCAGAACACAGACATGCTTCGAAATTAAGATGTATCTATCTATCAATTTGATGGAAAGTGATTGATTATAACGTCATATGAATTAAATTAATTAATATTGTTCACTCATTACTACTGTCAAAATAGAAGCTTACTGGATAGTTTTTTAATGAGAATAGAAAATTACCGGCTGAGAAGCAGCTAAGGGCCATGCATGAGGTGGACTAGGGCCACTTGCAACATGTGGACTCCAGTGTGCAGCAGTCCACTGATGCGCCTGCTGATGCTCATGCCACCGTTGGTTGATGACATTACCACGCTGATCATTTACCCGTATTCCTACATGTTTTATTTTTGCTTAAAACTACTCATTTATTGACTGAATCTTGAACTGCTATATTTATATCGAAAAACCTGAGCTCGTTATGAAATCAACCTCAACCATCAAAACACCAAGGAATACAAAGGTAAACTAAAATCTTATATAATATTGATGGATATTACTGCATGTAATCAGTTATCACTACTGCCGCAATGACTGCTGATAATAAGTAACTAAATATGTTAGGGAAATATTTGTAATGAAGAAATTAAGCAACCAGTGTACGACTGAGATCCACTTGTACCAGTGACTGTGCTTAAACCAGCACTTGTACTATTAGATGTAGAATTTGGCACTACTGCAGAAGTATTCGGATTGCGAATACCACTTCCACTAGGCCACATTAATTGAGCTTGCAGACAAATATGTAAAATATGTGAACAGAGAAATGAATAGTGATAAGTATACTTGTTATTAAAACTGAAAATACAGAAGAAGCATGTAGTAGCAAATGTGAAACTAATATAAATAAAAGATACTCCATTAATACCAAACAACTTATCCTGCGTAAAATTATGCGCAAAAAAATAGGGTACAAGAGGAAGGGAAAGTTATAATTCTGATCAAGTTATGTAATTATTTTAGTGGTCACTTATATAATGACCAAGTAGAAATAATCAGAACAAATGTTCCGAATTTTATTAAATTCCAGCATCAATTTGTGTTCAAACACATCCACATGACTAATTTTAATTTGAAAACTACAATTCTATACATATATAATTGCAGTTTTCAAATTAATGTCTTTCAGAGATTACAAAAATGAAGCTAACTATAATCATGTAGAGAGCTGAAAAGTGTTTAAAAACTACACTGCTTACAACAATTATTGAAGGATTATTAAAAATGACGTCAAGTATAATAATGTAGAAAGTTGAAAAGGATTTAAAACTAATAAGCTAAGATACTCAAAAAAATGAATAATGCATAGGTCAGTTTCCGTAAGCCATAGGTCAGTTTCCGTAAGCAATACTTTCTTACTTCTATTACTGCCCTTATTATAACAGGTGAGTACGGTGTCTACAACGCATAAGGATCAAAAGCAAAACTTCGGCAGTTGCTGATAATAAGGCTTTAATTAAACAGTGTAATAGCAGCTGCTGTGAATAATAAGCCATTAATTAAACACTACTTTATACTAAATTCAAAATAAAGTTAGAAGAAAATGTATTAGTTATTTCAAACAGTAGCAACTGGTAAGAAATATATCTGTATTAATTAAAAAAGATGGCAATTATTTGAGAAATATTACTCACTTAAGCAAAACAATTATCGAAGGATTATTACTTCGCGACATAAAATCAATCAGAATTGAGAAATGAGAGTTAAATGTGATGATACGAAGAAAAAGTAATGATCTTGTTACAGTACTCAGTCAAAAGTAATAAAAAATCAGTAATTGCTATCTACAATTAAGAGTGCGAATAATAATATAAGTAGCAATTTGCTAGTACAGTATTTTAAATGATTCACGTAAACAAAATCACGCAATATTCTTAGCTACTATTCATGTTCATGCAAGAATTATCATGATTAGAAGGGCAAATGCAAGTAAACGCTAATTTACCGCAATAATTAACTAGCAAAAGTAAATAATGTTAATTTACAGCAAAATTTTTTTGTATACATTCAAACAATCACGTGATTGTCAAGGGTAAGCAAATTGCATTTATTAATAATAATGGACAACTGCAACCACAGTATGAGAAGAGATGTTGCGGGAGAAGCATAAATGAAAATGCGCATGCGCACGTATCCACCCACCTATTCCCTATCTACCTATCCACACACACACACACACACGTGTATCGTTGACTACATTCATTTCAACGGGCGTGTGAACGAGATGTGGTGGGCGTGACTACATTATTACTCTGTCGGTCAGCGATATTTACTGCCTCACGTAAATTCATGTCAGCCCGCCCATTTCATGCTATTAAAAAGTAAAACAACCAAATGGAAAAAGATGACGTGCGTGCCTAAATACAATTAAGATAAGTAAGTAGCAATTTGCTAGTACAAAATTAATTTGCACGTATTACTGTCTATGATAGTATCCCACCAGTGCTTGTGGTTTTGCCGTAATCAAACGTTTCTATAATTTAGCCCTAACATTGCACAAGCAAGCATACACCACACACACACACATACATACACACACATACATTTCCAAACGCCGTTGTGTGCAGCTCGCCTTGTAATAATCAATAGCAGTAATTCAGCGAAAGTGTGTGCATAGCATTCCTCCGTGCACCACGTACACTACTTGTACATGTTTTGTTTGCATGTCTTACGTGCACACATACACGCACACGCAGACACACACACAATGTTATCGACACATTTCTAAATGTTATAAACCTTTTTCTCTACGTGTTCTTCACATATACACTCTCTTCTCGTCACATTTTATACGTCCTTCTGACAAATTTTTGCTTGTAACGTACACTCTTGCTTGTGTTTATGCGTCTATCACATGCGTACATACACTTTTGATAACACTCGTGTCTCATATTATACGTAGTTTATTCAGTGCAGAAATTTGTATGACATGTAGTACGTGTGTAGCACTTTGTGATTGCTGAATGACTGAATGAAGTCAGTAATTTGCATTTATACTTGTTCCAACTACACTCTATTCATGCATTTACAAGTGTTATGTTTACAGTTTGTTTGACGCATACAACAACCATACAACAGTAGATGTTAATAAATAAACTCGTGTTTTTCGCACGTGAGTATACTTGTTATTGTTTTCGTGTGTGTGTGTGTGTGTGTGTGTGTGTGTGCGTGTGTATGCTTACAATTGTTTGCTCAAGATCGTAAACTATGGCAAATAACTTGTACAGTGTTATAATCTATCTGTTATGGCATTCTGAGTTTGTTTGATCTGAAAATTTTATGACATTCATTATGAGAGCAGTAATTTGTTCTAACTTCAATAAAAGATTGATTTGAATAATAGTCTAAAAAATAGATTGCAAATGCATGTGACTATGAAATGAATCAGAGCTACTGCCTGTAAGGATTACTGAGCCTTAGCTATGAACGATTCCAATATTTTCCGTGAAAATGAAATGTCTGGTAGTTTTGGTATTTACTGTTAAATCCGCTTATATTTAGCCTCAGAAATTATTTAATATAATCCATACTATTTGCAACTTTTATTATTTTCTCATCAATAATTTACGAAACTGTTCACGTACGTCAAAGATCCCTTTGAACTTGAAGTAAATGTAGTTTTTTTTTTCTTCTGTTCATCATTTTAAGTTCATTAATAAACGCTTCAATTTATTTGCTAAAAGTAAATATGACATCATTACAACTAAAAAATGAGTTACAAAAGCACACATCTGCAAGTAATTGAGTCAACTCTTGCGATGAGAAAAAAAAATTCAAATGCAAATAAATAACAAATAATTTTTTTCAGCCTTTGTAGTTTGGTAGTGTTGATCGTGCATGTAATGTAATTTGAAATCCGGTCACGCACGTAAGCTTACCACTGCTATTTTAGTGTTGTTAGGTGATAAATTGCACTGCTAGCATCGCTTCTTTCCGTATGGTCAACTGAATATTTACCACTGCTCTCAGCACATTTAAGGAACTTCATCGTTGTTATCCGTGATCCGTGAAGCCAGTATGAAAGTTATTACTGCTTTCATTAGATTTAGATTTCATGTTAGCATTATTAATATCAGGTTTAGTTTGAACTTCAACGCTATCCTCGGTGAGTCTGTTGCTCTCGGTAAGTCTGGTGCTATCGACAAATTTGTTGCTATCATTATAACAAGCTTGGCCAATATTATTACTGTCAGCAGGTAAACCGTAATGACTGCCGTGTTTATACTTATCAGCAGTTATCTCTTCTCTTATCTCTCTTTCTTCTATACTTATCGTTTTTATTTCCTATAAATAGTTTGGTAAGTTTGTATTTTAAAAAAAGAGTACTAATGCTAATTATTCTTTACTGTTATTAGCTTTTTTGTATTCTGTATGAAGTATTATGTGACTTATTTCTATCCCACTTCTCTAGTCTTAAAGTATGGTGTTTAATAGTACTTGACTACGAGCTAACTTTTTATTACCTGTTTCTTACTTTTATGCATATTCTTTTAATTCAGAACTTAATGAAAATTATTGTAGAAAAAAACTATTCGGCTTAAAGATGGATATTATTATGCCAATTAAAGCAGTAAATTTAAATATGGAAGTTATAATCTAATTTTTCTTACTTGTGCTGGCGGTAAATTTTTGGGAGCAACTTGCTGTACTGGTTTTTGGTGCACCTGCGAGCCATGTGGCTCATATGATTCGTCTAATCTGAGATTCAAATTTTGTTTTGAAGGTAAATTTGTTGTTGGTATTTGCACTTCTGAAATCTTTATAATTGCAATAAAAAGTTCAGTAATTTTTTCACTTTTATTTGCTGAAGTCCTTTACCTTTCAAAATAATATATTCGTTTAATAAGTTTTACTTTTCGTAGATGAAAGTTAAGACATTTTAATAGAATTCTTATTTTTATTTTATTTGTACAATTTTTTAAATTGTAACATTGCACCATTTGTAAAGAAGAAAAATTGTACTTTTATTTATTTTTCATAATTATCAGTTAAAAATTTGCATTAAGTTAAAAAAAAAAAGTTAATTTTACGTTGCTTAAAGTATTAAGTGTTCTAATTTACTTTATGCGTTCAAAGTTAAGCCTAATCTTAATCGCGTAAAACAACACTAATTACAAATATTGAATATATAAACCTATGCTTTTGCCTTTTTTTGCAGACCTCAGTTCTTTCCCTTAAAAATATTTGTATAATTAAGTTAAGCATTAATTATTTGGTCAGTTATAAAAAGGTGTCACCGGTTTTTTTCTCTCCCAAAGGTTTTTGCTGACTTATTACTCCAATATCGTAGCAAATTTTACTTTCTAATTCCGGATCTACTTCCAGAACCATTGTTGTTCGCTTAGTTGCCATAAGATTGTCATTCTGTTAATTAATTCTTCTTAAAATTATTCACTATAACTTTTATTTTTCTTTTGTGTTGTACAATTGCGCACAATTTAAATGTACTGCTTTGCATGCTACATTATGCATTAAAAATTTGTATATTTAATCATTTTTTACTATCATAAACTATTATTTTCGTCTATTTTACGCTTACAAGTGAACCTTAAATTAATTTTCACCAAAATTTTGTTAAAATATTTTAGAAGATTAATTTTAGCTTATTAATATTTTTGAAATGAATATGCTACCGCTCGGTACTGATCACAGTCTGCTCTCACTGTATCATGTTTGATTGCATTTTTGTCCGTTTGTTTTTCTTCAAAACCTTTAAGAAATCCCAAGTAATCTTTAATTCACTAGATTATATTAATAAGCTAAAGAGATTATTATATCTATTTTATCTTTTTTTGAATATAAAATAGATATAATAATATCTTTAGCTTATTAATATAATCTAGCTCTATCTTCAATTTCACCCTTATAAAAATTGTTATAAAAAGTGATAAGAATTTGAAATTTGACCGTATCTTTTCGAAGAGCAGCAGTTAACAGTATATATTATGATAGTTATCACTGTGGTTAACGAAATACATAAGAGCGTTATTTCCATGCTGAAATTTAAGTAATGCTTGACATAAAACTATACATAAATAAAAAGCGAAATAATAATTATGTCTTTAGTAATTAGAGCCAATGTTAAAAAGTACTACATTGACAAGTGTATAAGAATGAACCAAATCTCTCGATGAAGTAGCCGAAAGTAGCCGATACTTAACCCTCGCAACTTCTAATATTTATTCTTTTGAATCTAACAATTGGAAAAGCGGCAGGGTTAAATGTATGTAACTAACAAACTGTCAACTCCTTCATGTAATTTTTTCTTTAAAAATTTTTCATGCAGAAGAATTTTGCATAATTTTGTTTTTTGATGAATATAATTCCACGTCATATTACTGATATATTTTTTTGTTACTGTTTTTAACTAAAGCTAATCTTTACTACAGAGATTAGCTCATAGTATTTAGCAGCTAGCAAAGTTGTACTTAAAAATTGTTATATTTAATTAATAAAATCGTGTCGTGTTAGGTATACATACACGCAATTTTAAATTCAAACAAAAGTGTGAAAATGATTTTTTCGCGTAAACTATTTAATTTGCGTTCTTTTCTATTCTGTTCGTACAGTTCTCTGTTCTATTAAATGTAATAATAAGTTTATTTCAGAATTAAAATTGGCGCGTAACATCATAGTATAAATTGTGTATCATTTAATTTCTTGCAAATCATCTAATGTATTTTCTTTATCTGCCCCTGACATATCTGAATCAATTCCTTCAGTCGATGCTCCTTCTTCAGTCGATGGTACTTCTTCCCTCACTGTTGATGTCTACAACGACAGGAATGATTCATACTTGTAATTAAACTTTTGTCATTTTGTTTCTTAACTTAAATTTCTGAATTATTGTGTGAATTTAAGAAAGAAAAGCAAACCGAATCTTTTTCAACTTGCTCGTCGGGATTTCTACGCCTTTTAGGCATTACTGTACCTGCCACAGTATCAAAGTACCGTCCACCCTGCTCCCAATCATACGGAGATTCTTCTTTAATACTGTAAAAAGAAAGTCATATTGTATCAAAAAGTACTTTCAAATTACATCTAGTTCAACCTTGATCTTTTACAAAACATTCAAGTTTGTCTAGTTACAACTAAATAAAATTTTTTCAATTATTCGATTAAATATGAAAAGATTCTATGAGATTTCGTTCTATAAATGCTTACTTTTTGCTTGATAAAATAGTACTAAATTTTTCATCGACAAATTCATAATTCGGAGAATCTTTGTATTCCAATCCTTTCAGATATGAGTAAAGTACTGGAAAATTTCCTGGACAGTGCTATAAGAAAGCAGTGGGGTTTTGAGTAACGAGAGACTCAGTTTTTCTGACTATTGAAATTATACTATTTATAAAATGTCTTTGATTATTTTATAAGATTTTCTAACCATTAAAAAAGTTAGTATGCACAGAATTATGATTTATAGAAGCGTTTTAATTTTACTGCACATCAAAAGTATTATCATTATTGTGATAATTATAAAATTGCAATAATAACATTGCTTAATCACATGAAAATAACACTATGAAATAAGCAAAGTAGAATCTATGCATTTTTCACGTAGATAATAATACGGATAGTTATTACGTCACGTGAGAATTGCTACAATTTTCGTAAGATACTGAAATTAGATTTGCATGGATTCAATAAAATCATACATTGAAAAGTTTCTTATCTGGTATACTTGCTTTAATGCTAGCTGATTCATGCCGATTCAGTCCTCGCCAGGGTAATTCACCGGTAATGAACTCAATGACAGTGTATAGCAGTGAGATTAAGTCGTCATGCCGGCCTTGTTCCTTGTGCTGATGTACGTTTAACGAGCAGTAACGAACAGTTCCCCGAAACGCTACCTAAAAATAAAATTGGCTACCTACCTAAAACCCTACATAAAAATACAAATCTCAAAAAACAGAAAACCTTAATTATATAAATATCACTTTAATCCCTAAAATGTAATATATGGTCTTAGATTATGATTATTACCATAATTACATATAATTTATTTAAGATTACAATAGCATCTTTGTGCGCAGTTACTTATTTTTAAGCAATAATTTTGTATTAAAAATGTACAAAGTTTTTTTTTTCAATTTAAGCTTTATTTTTGTATGAAAGGCCATTCACATATGATATGCAAAAAGTTTGACATTACTTTACAGGTAGCATAGCATATATCACATTATGATTGATAATAAACTTGAAGTGATTGTTGAACGAAAGTAAATATTAAAATAGTGCAATATATTTGGTTTTTTTGTGTATTTGTCAAGAAAGAATGTTTTCTCCAAGCAAACTTTTCTTCGCTGTTCCCGAAGTTTCAATTCATTGGTTCCTTGAACAGGTAGAAAAATTTGTCGTGACAGACCAAAATCAAACAAAAATAATGTTCGTTTCGTAGATTGTGTTGAACCAAAAGAAAAATTCAAAGGTTTCACATCGCGGTGTATGAATCCTATTCGGTGCAAATCTTTTAAAGCCTTCAATTAGTGCAAATTCTATGTTGCAACCGAAATATTAAGCTCGATATTAGTGAGTTTCAGTCAAAAAATTTTCATTTAATTTAAAAATACACGTAATTATTAGTAATAAGTGGTATTAAGAATCGCCCAGATTTTCTATACTTAATGAATGATTAATATCGTATATGTTTTCAATGTTAATATTCTTGTATCGAATACTTTTTTTCAGCAAGTTTCTTGCTCGATGATTAAATAAGTGAAGTAAACTTTAGAATGTTGCATATAGAATTTATTTCCGATAATGATTTTGGATTAATATTATATCTATGAGAGTAATGAAGACAACTTTATCAAAACTTTTGAAGCTTAAATTGAGCTTATTGGATTATTGTCTTATCGTATTCATACTTATCTTTATCGTTAAAAAAATCATATGATTTGCATAGTTCATACTTATCGTAAATATATAATTTAAACAACTGACAGTAACGATATGATATGATATGATATGATATGGTGACAGTAACAATATTAATATAGCAAATCATTTTATTTTCCATACGATTAACTTTTCCATTATCATTTTTATGATTTTTAAAAATTCAGATATCATAACAAAAATTAGAATATCTGATTATATTTGTGATAAAAGACTTACTTGCAACCCTTGTTTGCCTAATCTGACACTTGTACAAGTAGTGAAACGTTTCGAAGGCATCATAAATCGTAAATCACCCAAATTTCTAAATAAATTTTGAAATATTTTTGAAGAATAATTTATCTCTGATACATGTCGCAAGTAAATTGATACGTGTTACAAGTAAATTGATACGTGTTACAAGTAGATTGATACGTGTTACAAGTAGATTGTGCTTACTTTTCATTTCCTTTGCTTTGTATGATTTAAATAGAATTTGCTTTCAACTTTTGTACAAAAACGTTACTTCAACTTACTTGCCAAGAAGTGACATTATCATATAATTGAAACTGCTAGTTCGACCTGCACCATATAGTCGGCAAAAGTGATTAGATTTTTGCATTTTCTTAAGCACGAATACTTCCATCTTCAGAATCTCATCTTCATGATTCGCCATCAGTGGTTCAACTTTCATCGCTGCATGTACCTTACAAAATAATTCTTTATCTTATCTACTCAACTTTGTTACTCACTCACTCTCATACTCACTCATTTATTATGCAAATTTTTATTTTTGATACATTTTTTCATTTGTCATTCTGTCTTATTAACATTTTTGCATAGTATTTTACTTCCTGCTAATCCTCTCTAATCTCACAAATTCTAACCTCATAATAATGATATTTTAAAATGATAGCAATAATGATAACTACTGTGATTATTATGTTAGTGATTAAAATAGCGCAACCTTTGGATATTTAATATTTCTTAATAAGAAAACCATTCCACAACTGCCTTCACCAAGTTTCTTCTTTACAGACCATTGTTCTGCTACTACTGCACCAATACGAATTTGTGGCCTCAAACTTGTTTCTGTCATCATTTTTTGACTTTTGACGTATTCTTAGTTTTGAATAGTTTTTTGGCTAACGTACGACACGGTAACAAATATTAGCAAGTACGTCTAACAACTAGCCACTAATGTACTAACACTTATGAAATGCTGCATGCCTTATTCCCGACTACTTTTTGAAGTAAAAAACGAATTTGCATAAACTTTCTCTCAGACTTGTTAATAAATACATTTATTTCAATTATCAGTTGGTACTCAAATAGTTTTACTTAGTATTCAAGTTTTGATAATTATCCTTTATCAAGTTTACTGTTTAAAATCAATAATTACATTCGTGTAGACGTACGCCGCGCCACTGCACCACAAATTTGGGTGAGCATTAACGTATTTATTTGCATACAGAGAAACATATGTACACAGAGGCACACACACGCGCACAGATACGAATTTAAAACTTTATATATATAATTAGTTATCATATGCGTGAAATAAACGTGCATATAAATACATTTATCATACCAAATATATATAATTTAACGATCCAACTCACAAATCTATTACACACATACATCCAACGCACTACAGAACACGTACTTCACATACCACATGTACTTGGCACGTGCCTATCATACACATGTATATTCGTTACGTTTACAACACGTGCGTTTGATACACATACATAAGTTACGAAGAAGGAATAACAGTTAAAATTGTTATTAAAAATTAGCAAAGTTACTAATTAAGTTCGTAAATTCATTAAATTTTTTGACGAATTACAAATAATTCAAAAATTTACACTTCGGTAAGGGCAGACAAGCAGTATAATGGAATAATTGAACTAAATTATAACTTGAAAAGAACAGCAATTGTTGCTTGATAAAATTCTTATGCTTACGCGTACACAAATGAGTGGGACACGTGAAACGAGTACTTTAAATGCATAATTAATATATTTTTACTTTTTAATAAAAATCTATAAAGGTTTATTTTTTGTATTTTTTATTATTTTATTGGAGGTTTTTTGTTTTTTTAATAGTTTTTAGTATATTATTTATTATGTTATTATTTGATTTACTTTTTTGTTCTAATTACTCTTTTTTCGTGCTTACTACTCTGTTTTATTGCTTTTGAACCAATTATTTTTTGATAAATTGATATTTTTAGTTGCAAATATTAATTATATTGTTGAACAATTTGTTGTATTTATATTATTGTAATTACTTTAATTTTAGAAACAAATATACGACGTATGGTGGTTCCTTAATTACAAATAAATACATAGTGACTGATCTGTAATGCGCAAAGTATTTTTTTTATACTTTAGAAATTAATTATTATTTAATACTTTTGATGATAGATTAGGTTTGATTCACAATTTTGATCACTGTAAATCAATAAATTAATAATGCATTAATCCATTTTTCACGTACTGAAGAGAATTACGAGACGATTATCTTAAATTTCAACAGTTGCTAAGAAATTCGTGAATTATATAGATCAGAAAAACACATTCAGATGACAGATTACTTCAGAAAGACTGAAACGATGGTTAGTTTGTTGTCAACAGAATACATTTCTTTTAAAAACATTAAACAGAATATTAAGCGAATACAAATTGGAATTAAATAACAAATCAGTTAATTAAAAACTAATTTAAATGAAATAACATGGAAAAAAGTGAATTAAACTATTAAATAATGAATAAAACTTTGAAAATTCTCCTCAAACTCTCATATTTTTCTATTTATTTTATTCTCTTATTTTGTTTTTCACTATTTTTTATCTTTCAAATATATTTTTGGCTTTCTGCTCTTACCTTTATTTTTATAATTATTTGTGACATTTTAACATATGAATAAAATAATAAACAATACAAAAAACAAAATAAATTATACTAATCACGAATAAAAATAATTACTAAATTTGATATTACTCGTTTTAACAACCAAAAATTAATTATGCATAGCAATAATTAATTACTAAATTTGATATTAGTCGTTTAGGTATTGCATAGAATTATGAGATGAATACTGAAAACATTAGACTTGATTTAAGATTTAGATTATTCTAAAATTAATGAGTTATTCACTTTTTCATCAACTCGTAAGTGGTTACTTCCCGTAGGACGTGAAGATTCTTCAGTATAAGTTAATATTAATCATATTCTAATTCTGCATAGTAATTAATTATTGCTATGCATAATTAATTACTAAACTTGATATTACTCGTTTTAACACCACAAACTTTAGTCTTCAAATCATATTATTATGCTTTTTACAGCATAACTTTTACTGCTTGAAAAGTTTTATCAAATAACTTTAAAATTACTAAATAGTAAGAATCGCTGATGGAAACAATCAAACTATTGTACTAAAACTGATCAAAAAATATATCAAACTCTTCTGCTTAAACTGTTTTATCACTAATCTCTAAAAGTATTCAATCCATAAACATTATTATTGTTTTACTTACAACTATAAAAGTCTTCATTTTTTTAAGGGTCAAAATTATAAAAATCTCTGCAAGAAATCGATAAAAAATAACTTATTAAAATTTCTACCGAAACAAAATTTACCATTGATAGTAATGAACGCGGAAAGAAAATAGCCGTCGTGGCAATTGCAGACATAGTTCAAAAATGCAAATCATTAAAATACCAGAAATTCAACCAATTTAAACATTTTTAAATAAGTTTAGTAATGTGCCAATTATTGAATTCAAGTACAGTTAATACTGATACATTTACATAACTTGTATAGTTGAGATCTGATCATATCCTAATCAAAGACTAAATGACTGTTGGATAAATGATTGAGTGACTGACTGACCAACTGACTGACCTTATCACTTTGTTTCGTCCTTATTCAACTGTGCCCTTTTTAGCATAAATGCAGCTATTTTTAATTTACAGTAAAAATTAGATCTAGATCGAATTATATCACTTTTATATCTATGTCTCAAGATTACATGTTGAGACATTTTTTTTTTTGCCAAAATTTGCATATTATTTTTAATATAAAAATATGCTAACTTTGGTTGAGAAGGGCTCGGACGTGGTGTGTTTGACATGTATTTCAGTAATATCCAATCTAATATAAATGCAATGAGTAGCAGAAAATAACATAAGGCAGCATTTTTCAGACTTTCAGGTCAAAAACTGTCAAATAATTTTAATTTATACTTATTAGAGCTGTTATCATACTTCAAAAATACCTAAATCGACGTGCGTGGAATAAGTTTTACTCTTTAGCAAGTTTTATTTTTGTTTCTGATCTGGACGAAATAATCAAAACTTCAGATGAACTTTTAGACATGAATGGTTGATATTATCATTATTAGCAGTAGAATGATTGATCTTGGAATTGTTTAAGAGCTGAAGCAAGAATTGAGTTGGCAATTTATACTGTTTGACTTTAAAACTTTATTTTCTAAATAGTCTTCTAAAGTTTTTAAGATTAATTTATCAGAAATGCTTTTGATAACTACTGAAAAACTAATCTTTTGCGCAACAGTACTAGTATTTTGCTTCAATGATAATAATAATAATAATAATAATATTCATCATAATCATAATCATAATCATAATGGGATATTATTTGACATTATTTTCTTCAAATTGATTAATTATAGATAATTTCTGCAAAAATAATATGACTACAAAGCCTTTCGCTATGTGTAATGAAAAACATATGCTAAATGCGAATTTTTTTTAACTGTGAGAAATTTCTGGTTGTTTGCTTGTTTCAAGGCTAAGACCAATGTCTGAAATACGCATGCTGAAATAGTCTAACTCTAAAAGTACTCTTACTAGGCTTAGTAAGTCTATTTCTATCTTATATCCTCTTTGCAGGCCAAGTCTTAAACTATGTAAAAGTATTGCTTTTTACATTTTTTTACTTATGCTATTTACTTCCCATTCTAAACTATTTTACAGTTTTATCTCATACAGTCTTTTTTTTGCACAGTTTTAAAAATTAGTTAACTTTGAAGGTTAACTAATTTTATGCAAGAATTTGTTACAAGCTGTAATTTAATCAGGCTTATATTTTAGCATTAATATGTTCAGATTCTCAAGGGATAGCTGTGAGAAAGTAAGCTTTCTGATTGCTTTGTTAGCTTAAAATAAGAAATTTATAGTTAATTGAATAAAAAAACGATGAATTTTGCGTATTTTATAAATTTTATTCACTACTTTGTATCAATAATATACTTTAAATATGAAAAATTAGATTTTTTTTCGCTAACATATTTTATGCACATATAAATTATTCACATGACATTCTTTTAGCATGTAATAACTTGTAGCTTTTCAAGTTTTTTAATTGCTCACTTAAGTTTTGGTTTTTTTGTTTTTTTCTGTTTTTTTTATTTTTTTTGTTTTTTTTTAGCAAAGTTATTTACATTTGACAATGATAAGATATTATTTTAACAATTTTTGACTCATTTTACGGATTCAAAATTTGCTGTTTTTTTTAATTAATGAGTGAAAGAATAAAAAATATAAATCTTATCATAATGATTATGATAACAGAAAGAATAAAACTTAACTTAAAAGTCATATTTCTCTCAAAGTTTCGCATTTTTTAATTTTTCATAAGTAAGAAATCACTATAAAAGATATTTTTTAGAAAGTTTATATTTTTTGATTTTTTCTTGTCATAATTAATCATACGTTTAACACTTTTTTAGCTTTTTGAAATTTCACTTCATTATTTTTTGACAACTTTTAGCTTAAAAATTGCTTGTTTTTAATGCCTGTAAAGTGGAAAAGCAATATTAATATTATGAGTATTACTGTATAATTACAGGATATGAAAACTGAATTTGTATGGAATTATGAATCTTGAATGCTCTGAATGTATTCACATTCAATAAAACTTCTTACTGTACTACTTTCTCAAATTCGATATGCTACTTTGAATTACAAGAAGAATTCAGCACCATTTTTTCCAATGAAATGTTACAGTTGCTCATCTGCAAATATACATAAGGAATGGGTAAGAATTATAATATTTTAAGTTTAAAAAATAGCTATTATAATATTAGTGTATTAATTTTGATTTGAGAAAACAGTACATAAATTAAAAATGGAATTCAAAATTTTTCACTAGAAGAATTACTTTTTTTGATTGTATATTTTGTTACCACAATGTATTGTAATAATACATTGTCGTAATTTGAAAATAAAAGGTAAATAAGATAATTTGCATATTTTTGATCAAAATTATGTAAAATGTAAATTTTAATAGGAATAAAATCAATGTTGATCACTACATATTAAATTAATAATTTATTCTCGTTAATTTAAATAATCATTGGTGAATTGTATTTAAAAATATTTTTCAGCCACATGATAGTTTGAACCGTATAGAGTATATTCGACAATTTCCTCAGTTTGCGAATGAATCTTGTATTACAACGCATTCATTTCCAGTGGTACCGTGTGAAGATAGCGTATGCGTGAAACTAAGCATTCTAAATCCATTAATTAGTCGACGTCTACATCACGGTACTTTTTGATTTCTATTTGAAGCAGCAGCCTCAGGTATATAGTTTTTAACAAATATATACATTAGTTTAATATTTAATTATAGCTTTTTATAAGATTTAGAGAAATTTATAGGGATTTGTCTTTGCATGCTACAATTCAGGATTAAGCTAATTGTGACAGTTAGCTTAATTTTATGGTGCAAAACTCGAAGTGGTTTAGAACGGAAATACAGTCAAAGCAAAAAAACTAAAACTGAAAGATGATTCACTAATAAAATATTATTAAAAATTTATAAAACATTGATAGTTTGAAGAAGAAAATTATATGATTTTAGTATATTTTAGAGCGCAATGTAGCGATAGTGCGTGATTGCTGGAGTCGAATAATGAAAAATGACGTGAACGGAAATGTTTCAAGTGCAGTGTTTCAGAAGAATCACGTACAGGTATGAAATTTTTCGTAAAATTGCAATATTTTTGAAAAAAGGGTCAAAATATACTCTCATACAGCAATATTAATATATTACATTTACATATAAAAACTCGTTACTGCTAATTTTTTATACTTATAAATTTAATATTAATATATTACATTTACATATAAAAACATATAAATTTATCTCCTTCATTTTTGCTAAATATGAAAGAAAAATTTCATTTATCTCCTTCATTTTTGCTAAATATGAATGAAAAATTTCATAGAAAAGGAGTATTTTGTGCTAAAAAAATATTTTCGCAATTAAAAAATGGAATCTTGTTAAAAAATTTTATAAAATTCATGAAATTATTTGCAAATTTCTAGAAATTTGTAAAATTCTTAATTTTTGATAATTTTATATGGACCATTTTTTTTCTTTTTTTTTGTTGCAATATTTGCAAAATAATACTTGCGTAATTGTGGAATTTTTACATGAAAAGCAAATTTAATTATTTTTACGATTACAAACGTCGTGTAACTGACAAAAAGAGTCAGTTACACGACGTTTGTAATCGTAAAAATTAACTATGCGTCATATTTGCAATTGAATAAATTCTAATCATATCTTAAATGTTCAGATTTTGCTTATGGATGAAAAAATTGAACGGATAGTTGGTGTTATGAATGCATGCAGAGGATATCTATGTAATAATACTGTTGTACAGTATTCTGCAATTATTTCGTATTGTATTACTTTTGTAATATTTTTGTTTTCCATTTTTTTAACTCGTGTATGATCAAGTTTTGCTTGATATGTTACGATCGTATTGAAATAGTTCTGTGATATCTAGTAAAAGTTTTAAAAACTTTTAGTTTTGAGCTGAAAGTAATTTTCTAATTATATTGCTATTTTTATTTCAAATTCTGATTTTAGCGAATTAGAAAAATTATTATGTGAATATTTGACATTTTTTCTACAAAATAATTATAGTAACTAGTCAAAAAGTCATTGTTTTCATTATTTTTTTGAATGGAAATAAAAAGATCGTAAATGAAATGTATAAGAGAATTTGTAATTATGTATTTTCGCATGTTTTATTGCTAATATGTTTTTTATTAAAGCATTAAATATTAAATTTTATTATAAAAAAAGAAAACAATCGTACACAGAAAATTAGTTATACAATTACAAAAAAGTTATGCTCTCATCAAATGTTTATCAAATTTGAATTCCAATATGCAAATTTTAATTCCAATATGCTTAGAAATAGTATAGTTTTATTTCACAGATTACAGTGATAAGACATACAATACAAAATAATTATGATTAAAAAGATGAAAATCTGAAATCAAAAATATGAATTTTTTTTTAGAAATTTATTCAATAAAATTAATTATTATTTTTTTCATTCAGATTTCTTTCTCACTTCACTTTTTTCACACTAAATAAAATAAAAATTATTCATCAAATTGTTTATCTGTGAATTATTGGAATTTAAATTATAAAAAATTGGAATATTTTATGACAACCATTGCAACGTAGCTAAAAAGTAATTGTTAATATTAATGTTAATGTAGTAGAAAATAAATTATTATCAGCAAATGCTGCGCGTATTAAAATATTAATAACTAAAGAATTAATCAAACGAAGTAATTTTAATGTGTGCGCAGGAATTTAACTTACTTTAATTGATTAAATCAAAAAATTTGTATTTAAGAAATTTTTTGATTGCAATTTATTTATTAATTTTGTTAAATTTAATAACCTTTTTTTTAATAAATGTTTCTAAATTACTTTAATTATTTTTTTCTAAAGAATATGGTACATTTTGTGATAGTGTAAATTTTGGCTTCAAATTATGCAAAAATAATTCACGTTCTACAGAATTTGCATAATTATTCATTTGTTTATTTTTACTTAAATTTTTGCTTGAATATTGTTTGTTATTTTGATTGCTTATAATTATTTCACTTTTATTTTTTTCTTTTTTACGTCCTTCTGATAATTTTCCAAACAAAATGGGCTTATTTCTTTGTAAATCTTTTTTAAGTACAGTATTTTTAGCAGGAAATGGAAAAGCAACTTGTATTGGCAATTTAGATAACCATTCTTGAAAACTTGGAATACCTTCTGGAAAAGAAATCGGTGCATCTAGTTTACCATATTGATGAGGTAATGATTCTGTTGCATCATTTTCATCATCATCAACAGCATCTTCGTCATTTCCATTTTCAATGCCATCTTCAAATTTATCATTGTCATCATCATTCTTATCATTTTCATTTTCTTCATATTCATAGCTGCCTTCTATTTTAGGCGACAATTTTCTCTTCGGTACTTCATTACTATCTCTATTACTATCAAATCGTTTATCATCATCATTAATTTCTGTAAATTTATTCAGTTTATCAATTTTAGTATTAATTTCACTATTTTTCAAATTCATTATAGAAGGTATATAAGTGGAAGAATAATTAGTACTAATAATTAAGTCTTGTATTGCTTTATCGTAGTCTTCATCAGCAAATTCAGCAGAATCCACACTAAGCACTGTTGTTGAATCTATAGTATTAGTAATCAAAGTAGGCTGTGTTGTTAACGTCAAGTTTGCTACTTCAGTAGAATTTATTGAATAAATATGTACAGATTGCAGCAAATCGTGTAGTTTTTGTTTTGTTTCCTCTGTAGTAGGAATCTTAGTACGTGAATGATTAGTACGTGAATGATTTTTCTGGACAACTTCTGCAAGTATTATATCACCTGATATGATTGGTAAAGTTACTGGTACTGAACTAACTGAAAGTTTTTCAGAATTTTCAATTTCTTGAGAATTCATTGATAATAATGTTGTATGATTGAATTCCTTTTGCGTATCACCATTTTTCATTTTTTGAAAAGCTAAAATGGGTTCTGGAGGGAAAATAACCTCTGTTTTTGGCATTAAAAATCCTCGAACCTCAGGTATTTCTGAATCACTATTTCTCTTTTGACTTTCATTTGTGTGTTTTATTAAGGAATTTATATTTTCTAAGTCTTCAAACCCAACTTTTTTTATTACGTTAGATGGATTGATCGAATTTTCAATCTTAACGTCTTCAGATGCCTTCTCTGTATTACCATTTGCAATCTTATGATGACTCATCATAAATGAACTATTTGAAGCGTTTTCTAATTGATTTTTAACATTCTCGTGGTTGGATTTGATGTCTTCTGTCATATTAGAATCAATTTTGATAGACGGAATAGATGAGGAAGTTACTGCTTTCATATTACTGTTCATCATTTCGATAGTGTCTTCGTCTAATTTTGCAGCAGAAAGAGGCCATAAGATGTTATCAAGATCTAAGAAACTATCTACAGTACTTGTACCATTGGATTCTTGGCTTTCTTCAAGAAATTTTTCTGATTCCAAAGTTACATTTGTGTTCAATTTTGACTTTTTCTCAATCAATTCATCATCTGCATCAACCCAATCAGCCTGCACAGCAATTGAATTATTTCTAGCACTTCTTAAATAAGTCTGATTAGCCATATTGTAACCTGAAGGATTATTCTCCATACTGATCAGAAATCCTGATGAATCTTCTTCAACCTTATCCTTTTTGTCCTTGTTTAGCTTATCATCAAAGAACGAAATTGTCGGAATATAACCAGCAATCATTTGTATGTTATAACCAATTAGCTTAGCACCTGGCGATAACTTCCAATTTCGAGACTGTTGTGTCACTGATTCAGGAAAAGTTCGAGACTGTTGTATCACTGATTCAGGAAAAGTTCGAGACTGTTTTGGAAGTAGCGTCGCAGTGTTCATATTTAAGGAATTTTTCGCATATAATGAAGTATTTTTGTTAAATTGTAGAGAATCTTGCAAATTCTTAGCATTCTTCTGAGTTGCAAATATACCGTAGGCTGGCGGTGGTATTGAATCCTCAGTTTGATATGGTGTTAAAGGACTAAATTTTGGCTTGTCATTTAGCGACTTACCTAAAATATATATTAATTAATATAAGTTTTTAAATTTTCAGTCAATCTAAATCATTATTAAAGTTCTATTTTTTTAATAACTTTTACATCTTCAAATCTCAATTCATACCTTAAATATTGTTATTCAATAATAAATTCAACACGTATCTTTCTAGTTTCTTCTATTGTTTATTGAATTTTCCCAATTATTTTCAGTACTGTAGTAACCATGAAGATTAGTCACACAAATTTACTGAATTTCAAAAGACAAATTTTGAGAAAGTCTAAATTACTTACTGTAAGTAAATATAACGAATATATTGGAGAGATAAATGATGTAATGACTACTACTGCGCAGCATTTATGCTTGAAAGTATTACTTTGAGTATACTTTCAACAGGTAAACAGTCAAGTACAGTAATAATACACTAATAATGAAGGCAACTGTGATAGAAGAATAGTTAAGATTAAAGAAATGATTTGCTTTTAAAAAATAGGTCGCTTTTTTGAGGCTGGTAGTTTTGAAGTGGGAATTCACGTTCTTCTCGTAATAATTGTTGATTTTTTTAATATTATTAGTATTATTGTTATTATTATTAGTTATTGATGAGAAAATAAATGGCTATATGAAACGATCACTTTAATTATTAATCTCATGAATGCAACGTATAATTCAACTCCGTAAAGATTCAGAAATAGTTTCTGCAAACTTTTTAATAATAATAAGTGATAATTGCTTTGATAAAATCTACATCACTACGCCTTTTTTTCTTAAGTGTTGTTTTTTGCTCATTAAAAAGTAGAAATTTCATTGTTATAGTTATAATAATTACTGTAAGTAATATTTACGCAAAAAAATTGTGCTTAGTTCTGAAAGAAAATTTCTTTCTGAAATTAAGATTTATCTAACTAATGAGATTTATGATTTCAACGCAGATTCTAGAATTTATGAAGGTAAAAATGTAGGTTACCTTTGAAAATTATTGAATGTATCTTTAAATCAAAATGAGCAACAAAAATTGGGAATATTGTATGCAAGAATGAAGTCAATTGTTATTACTCAGAATTTTTTAAGACTTTTTACGGCGTGATTATCTCTGTCAGATATGTACACGTGCATACGTGTTATTTATAAAACAATTACTAGCGTTGTTGTACTGTTTGACTTTGATATTATTTTAATATTCTGCAGAGAGTTTACAACTCACTGTCATTCTGATGAAGTTACTATTTTCGCAATTAAAGTGCGCATGAAAGATTTGGAATCTTTTGCGTTGTTCAAAATAAGTAATGGATTTTGTAATATTTTGATTTAAATTACTGTATACTTTGATTTAAATTACTGTTACTATCCTTTTGATTTAAATTATTGCATAACTGTAGCTGTAGTAACCATAACTTTGAATAACTGTATTTGTTGCATCGACATATAGTTTTTATGAGCTATAACAAATGTTGTAGTGAGAGAGCATGG